GAGCAGAGCGGGAAAGAGGCCAGAGAAAGACAAGCCAGGAAGTCGAGAAGAGCCAGGAGACTGAGGCTGCAGGAAGTTGTGGGAGAGCAGGGATGTAAAGAGGACCAAGGCACATGCTGCTGGGACTTCTGCTGAGCTAAGTCCTGAAGCACGTCTTTCGCACTTAGCTAAGAGATCACTGGTGGGAGATTTCCCTGGTGGCCCAGCGGCTAAGACTGTGCGCTCCCAGTGCAGGAGGCCCAGGTTCCATCCCTGGTCGGGGAACTAGGTCCTGCATGCCACAACCAAAGATAAAGCCATGCCACAGCTAAGACCTGGCACAGCCAAATAAGTAAATAAATAGATTTTTAAAAAGAAATCAGTGGTGATTCAGAATAGTTTCTGAGGAGTGATGGGTAATGATAGTTCCAGGTTGTTGTTGTTTTTAACCCAAGAAGTGTTTAGGGGTGCCATATGGGTGGAAGAGAGGGTAGGGGATTTGTCTTGATGGTGCATTTGCAGAGTACCAACATAAGGTTGAAAAATTGTCAGGTGTCCACAGAAAGGGTTGAGGGGCTTGTGGGATTAAGTCCATTCATCCCCTAGGCACTCCATATGATGGAATCAGAAGCCAAAGAGCAATGGTTGAAGGAATGATGCGTGTTGAGGAGATTAAGAAGCTTGGTTTATTGGGTAGGAGGGAGATAAGGGGCAGTTAACATTAGGAAGGAAAACAAGAAAGTAACTTTGTTTCTAAGAATGGACATGCCCTGATATTTCTCTGCTTTCCTGTAAGAAGAACGAAGGGAAAACGGAGAGGATAAAGACATAAAGGAGAGAAGCAGGCCTGAAGTGCCAGAGGGAACAGGATCCCAGAAGAGAGGCTGGACTTGGAAAGGAGGAGGGACAGCAACCCCCGCCCCCCCCACCAGGCAGAACTAGGTGAGGAGGTCTGTGGTATGTATACATTTACTCCAAGCATAAACGTTAAGTGAAATTCGCTCAGTTGTGTCCGACTCTTTGCAACCCCATGGGCTATACACTCCAAAGAATTTTCCAGGCCAGAATACTGGAGTGGGTAGCCTTTCCCTTCTCCAGAGGATCTTCCCAACCCATAGATGGAACCCAGGTCTCCCGCATTGCAGGCAGATTCTTTACCAGCTAAGCCACCAGGGAAGCCCATATATGTAAGCAGATCAGCCCAAATGGCCTCTGTGTGAGTGCTAAGTCGCTTCAGTCGTGTCAGACTCTCTGCAACCTGTGGACTGTAGCCCGCCACGCTCCTCTGTCCATGGGATTCTCCAGGCAAGAATACTGGAGTGGGTTGCCATTTCCTCCTCCAGGGGATCTTCCTGACCCAGGGATCAAACCTGCATCTCTTGCATTTCCTGCATTGGCAGGCAGGTTCTTGACCACTAGCGCCACCTGGGAAGCTCAAAATGGCCTCTATTTTCTCATTAATGTAAGGGGTAAGGTTGGCAGCTGAGAGTCAAGAGATGAGACTGTCCGGGGGCCCTGACCAATGGTTATGTTTTAGAATCCTTGATGACTGACAGATGGGAGAGGAAGCTGAATGAGAAGAAGAATGATTCAGCAGGCTGGTGAGAGACAGGTCCTGACAGAAAGCAAACAGCACATTCCAGTGGGGTAACTGAGGAGAGTTTGGGGAAAGGAGTATTTACCAAGCCGTGAACAGGGTTGGGGGGAGGCATAAAAAGCAGTGAAGTCCACAGGGCCTCGCAAGAGAGGGAGCCTTGTGAGGTGAGAGAAGAGAGTGTTGCAGCAAAAACAGAAGTGAATGAATGGCCTTTGGCACATATCAGACAAACAGGCCTACAAGAGTTAAGTAATCTTGGTTACTCTTTGCCTGTTACTGCTAACAGTTGTCGCTAAACTTGTCCTTCACAGAGTTGTTGTTGTTGTTGTTGTTGTTGTTGTTTAGCCGCTAAGTTGTGTCCGACTCTTTGCAAGTCCATGGACCCTAGCTTGCCAGGATCCTCTGTCCATGGGATTTCCCAGGTAAGAATACTGGAGTGAGTTGCCGTTTCCTTCTCCAGGGGATCTTCCCGACCCAGGGATCAAACCCAGGGATCCTGTGCTGGCAAGCAGATTCTTTACCGCTGGGCCACCAGGGAAGCCCTTCACAAAGCTAAACAAAGCCAGTCACTCTCTGACTCCGTGTGAATGAGCATCTGGCACCCTTCTCCGCTGCACTCTCTTGTAGCATTCTGCCTTTCAAAAAAGCTGTCAATCCTGCAACTTCAGGGACTACAGACTCAGTTGCTGAGTTGCCTGATGCCAGCTGTGGTTTTTTGAAAATTTTGCAAAGAAAAAATATATATAAGCAAGACCTTCACGAGGATATAGAACCCCTCTCCCTGTTCCCAAGTGAGGCGGGACACAGTTCTTGAGGCACTGGTCTACTGTGTTCTCCTTTTGCCTGGTAAAAAGAACACAGCTGTTCTTTTCTGTTTCCTCCAAACTTTGTCACCATATTTCTATCTGGCATCGGAGGACCGGGAGCCAAGATTTTAGCAACAAGAGCAGGTCCCAGATCTCAGAGAGAAGGGATGTTTGTGAGGAGAGGGCCATCCCAATGGAGCCCACTGGACACAGATGTTAAGTTACCTGCCAGCCAGCCAGCTTTCCTGTCTCTAGGTTCTGGTAACCCCTCTGTCCTCTTGCCTAAAGTAGTTACAACCAGCTATACTAGTCCCAGGGGACTACACTATTCCTTATGATCATAATATATTCATTCTATACAAGTTTTAAAATTCTATCTTAATAAATATAATTTTATTATAATTATCCAATTTGCATGTACTATTTCCTGAAGAAACTCTCACCTATATATGGTGTTTTGAAAAGACAAACTCTGGAAAGAAGAAAAGATGCAGGGTGTAATATATAAATAATAGAAATTTAAAGGAGGACAAAGTACAGATATAGCATGCATTTGAAAAATATTCCTATACTATGAAGAATTTTATGCCAAGAAACCTGAAAACGTAAAAGAAATGGACAAATTCCTAGAAGATACATAATTGAACCAAAAAGCTTCAACAAGAAATTGAAAACCAGTATAGACCAACAACCATTAAAGAAACTGAAATAATGGATTAAAAATCTCCCCATAAAAGTGGGACAGTCCTTAGGTGTTTTATTTAGCAAATGTAAACATTTCTAATGTATCTTTTTAAAAAGTTGAAGTAACTAATTTACAATACTATGTTACCTTCTTTTGAATAGCAAAGTGATTGTTATCCATATATGTAAAAATACATATTCTTTTTTATATTATTCCACTGTGTTTTATCATGGGACACTGAATACTGTGCTGGGCAGTTATAATGTATCTTTTATCTGATCCAACTTTTCAAAATTTATTTTATTTTATTTGGCTGCGCCTCGAGTCTTAGTTGCGGCACTCAGGGTCTTTAGTTGCAGCTTGTGAACTCTTAGTTACAGCATGTGGGATCTAGTTCCCTGACCAGGGATCAAACCCAGGCCCCCTGTATTGGGAACCCGGAGTCTTAGCCACTGAATCTCCAGGGAAGTCCCCTGTCTGTACTTCTTATTCTATTTTGGGAAGCTCTAAGAAGCTCTGAGAAATTGTTTCGTTCACTATTTATTCACATAATGCCACCACTGGTAGCATTGTTTCATTCACTGTTTAACCCAGGCTTGCCTTAAACTTAGTATAAACTATGGCAGAAGCTAGAAAAATCTAAAGGATCCGTAGACATATAAGACTTCAGGCAAAGGGAGAAGACTTTCACAGAGCCTCTAGGTCCCAAGTGAAACTTCATACAGCCAAGACAGGGCTGTGATCCTGAAGACTGAGCCCAAATCCCCCTGTTCTGGTACTAGTGACATAAGAAGTCCCTTCAGAATGAAGATCTGCATGCAGCACGTGACTCTGCCCAACACCTGGTCACTATACCAGCCTAATCAGTCACTTCTGGAACAGTGAAAGTCACCGTTTGGCCCTTTTGATGATAATACCAGGGTTAATTATTAGGAAGTTATTGGGAGAAACAGCTGAATAACATTACCAAAAAGGCCTGAACCCAACTTGATATTCAAAAAGAATTTCAGTAACTTTCAAGCTACTTAAATTTGTCCCCTCACTCATATAGTTCTAACTTACAGAGAAACTTTTGAAAAGAATATTTTTCTTTGGAGGCACCAGAATCATGGCTCTATAACCATGACAATAGGCCTCTCACTTGCATTTTTAATGAAGAGAATTATCTTCATTTTTTTAGTTTTATTCAGAGGTTGTGTAAAGCCTGTGTACTTCAGCTGAACACAGGATGTGGGCACAGACACCAGAATCGCTGAGGGGCTGGATGAGGCCCAGATAGGTCACAGCATTTGCTACCAGCAGTCCTGAGATGTTGATTTTTATTGTTATTTCCTTTTCTTTTTACTTCTGAGCATCAAAACCAAGTTTCCATTTACAGCAGCCAAGAAGATAGGGGATTATCTGTGTCAGTCAAGCAGAAGTGTTTTCATCTGGAAGATCTGACTGTGCCTTCACCAGGAGTGGGCAACAGACTCAAGCTCAAGCAGACAGGAGCTCACCGAGAGGGGCACGTGTCTCCAGGCAGCCCTTTAGGGTCCACGCGCATCCCGCCCTGAAGCGCTGAGAGCCTGGCTACTCTGTAGTAGCCTCACGATCCACCAGGGATTTCCTATCCAACTTAATGGAGCAAGTTTAGGGAGTGAGGAGAACATAACCTGACAAAATTCCTACCAAGAGTGTGGAAAACAGGGATCCTCTTCTTAAATACCTGCTTCCAAATAACCCATCCCAATAAACTGTACTCACAGCCACAGATGGTTCAAGATGCACTCTAATTCTCTTGCCCTTTCAAGGGTTTTCTTTCTCATGAGTTTGTGTTCTGACATTTCTACCAAGATGCAGTGGTTGGAGACGCTGGCCCTTTAACGGGGGAGCAGGGCAGGGGCTGGGAATCTTAAAGCCGGGGCAGCGAGCCTGCCCGGCCCAAGCCGCCATGGCCACGCTGAGCAGAAAGGACAGCTACGGTGCTGGGGTGGGTGCTGGCACCCAGGCGGCTGTGAACCCCTCCCTGTGCACAGACTGAGGCTGGTGGTGACTGTGTGGGAGTGCTTCCCCTCCAACTCCTAGCACTGACTCTCCTTTCTGTCCCTAGAGCTGAGGTCAGAGGGTTGGGGGGTGGGGGGGTGGGTTTAGGGCCATCTGAGAGCCCGGGATTCTGCTCCTTGGAGATGTGGATCAAATTTTTTCTGACAGCTTTGCTGGGGGGAGACCTTGGCTGTTTCGATGCCAGACCATCCTTTACTAAGGACAGGGGTCTCTGGATCTCTTCCCTATCCCAGGTTTACCTTCCAGAGGCTAACAATGCTCTCTCGCCAGAGGAAACAGCCATGGAGCAAGTCTGCCAGCTGGAAAAGATAAAATGCCTCCAAGGTAATATCACCAAGTGGTCTGTGGTAGCTGATAAAAGTCCCAGGAGTGCATCGGCTTGGGGATGTGGCTCAGTGGATAGGCGCGGGTTTGAGTCAGAACTGCTGTGAGTGATTCCCAAGTTCTTTTACCCACTGCTACATCAAGAGGGTGACTGAAATCACATTTATGGGGTCTATTCTCCTCACCTTCAGAGAAAAATGATCAACACCAGCCTTGTATTTTTGTTGAGAGCAATACATGAACATACACACGTCAAGTCTCCGGCACATGGGGGTTAAATGCCATGCGTCACGGCAGCTGGAACTTGGTTGATTAAAGAGGCACAGGAAGGGCTGTCCGGGGGTGAGCAGGTGCAGCAGCCTGTGGTGGGACTAATGAGGCCCTGCAAGGGGGGCTGAGAAGGTGAAGGCGATTGGCACCTGCCGGGTTCTGTCTGCTCAAGTCGGGGGTGCCTAGGGGCGCCCTGGGGTAGTGAGGCTGGGTTGAACTCATACAGCAATGTTTGAAGATGGTGCTGGAGACGGCTTGCAAACAGAAGTGCTAAGAGAAGCATCCTCTCTCCGCCAGGCCCTTCACGGCTGAGCTTGTTTCTACTCCCTCCGTAGGCTCCCGCTTAAACCAAGGCTCAGGCAAGTCCCATGTCCCCTTGGCTCTTAAGGAAGAGCTGGTGTCTGCCTCTCAATTGGAAGAAGAGGAACTGGATCCAGATTTAGCACCAGACGTGGAGGAGGAGGAAGTGGAGGAGGAGGAGGAGGAAGAGAATGATCTGGGGGACCCAGCTGTCCTCAGCGCTGTCCATAACAGCCAGGTGCCGTGGCAGGACGGTGTGGGGTTGTCCCGAACAGTCTGCATCTCATAGGCTGTTGCTCCACCTCTCTCTTCTCTTCACCCCTCTCTAGGTGGGTGAACACTTTCTACTTCAGGCTTGAACCCCAGGAGAGACTCTCGCCTTCCTTCCCTCCTTCCGTCTGTCTTCTGCTTAGTTTCTGATTCTGCCCTCACCTTGAATGCAGGTCCAGCAGGGCTGCATCACCCACCCAGGGATGCTGGCTCTGCTCCTGAAATGAGTCATTTTCATTTCAGCTCTTGAAATGTGTCATCTTTGACCTTGGACCCCTGTGTCTTTGCAGTCCCTTGGATTCCGTCAGCTTATGGGGAGGCACAAGGGGTTCCCATTGCAGAAATGAAGTTACTCAGATCCTGCTTCAACTTAACTCCTCAGATGCCAGGCTGGTTTCCCTTTGATGGAAGGAGAGGGGGTCCTGATCCCACTGACTTTGAAATTGAGGGAGGGCCAGGCTGCCTGTATCCTGGGTATTGGAAATGGTTGGTTCTGCTGCTCACCTCCCCCATTAACACTGGTGAATGTAGATGTTATCACAGGGGCTCATTCCTGCCTCATTCCTCCCTCGCATTCCAGAAAGGGCTTCTCAGCTCCCTTGGAATCATGGCCCCTGGTGTGCTAGGGATGTCCCCTGCCTCCTTGCACTTTCTGTGGCAGGTGAGTGTCTCCAGTCTTGCTGTGAGAAAGAGACGGGGTGTTGAGAAGCAGTGTTTGGAGGGTCCCCTTCTTAACATTACACTCTGCTCTTGACCTTGCTCTGGGGATGCAGCAAAGCGAGGTTAGGGTATGGACGGGGGGACGCCTGTCACTCAGAGAAGCTTGGTAAAGGACAGAGCGGGTCCTGGGACAGCTGGTCTTCCTAGAAAAGGGACAAACAATTCCAGCTTACAGAACACAAATAGCACTGAGCCTTGTGCTAGGAAGAGCACATGACGTGGAGTCGAGGGGCTGCCAGAAATCCAGCAGGGAGAGGAGAAGGGAACTCTCGGCTGAGGGGGGCTCCGGGGGAGTCTGAGGAGGGCTGAAGACAAGGTCTGACGACACCCAGAGGAGGAAAAGAAGCGGAGCTGACCCACACAGAAGGAACAAGCACAGGCTTCCGCACTGTCAGGGGCCGAGAGTTACTCCCTAGGGGGTGACGAACCCGCTGGAAACAAGAAGGGGGCCCATAGTCTGGTGCCCTCACGACTGGCTCGAGGGGCCCCAGTGTGGCAGATGTTGGGTGAGGTTCTTCAAGGCAAAGGCAGGTGAGACCCTAGGGCAGAAAGGCAATCAGCAGCAAAGGCAGGATCTGTTGGTAGAGACGGGCTTCTCTCAGACCCTGAAATGCTTCTCGCAGACCCTGGACCACCTGGCTCCCCTCCCCTCCCGGCCCGCCCGTCTCGGCGCCCGCTCTGCAGCCTGCCACTTTGGACCGCGACTGCCCGCGCCAGACGCAGCGCTCCTCTGCAGTCCGCCCGCCTCATGGCCCCTGCGGCTCAGGTGCTGGATTGGGGCGCCCTTCCCCTGGGATCCAGACAGGCTGGGCTATCTCCAGAAGATGGGAGGTAGTAGCTGAGGAGGCATGGCTGCCCTTCTACCAGCTGCCACAGAAAAATACTTAGAGAAACTCACTAAGGGAAGTGTGAGATGACATGCGGTTCCTTCCCTCACAGGGGAGGAGATGGAAGCCCACCTCAGATATGAGGTCAGCTGGCCCAGGAGAACTGAGCTTAGGACCCAGAAGTCCTGATAGCCAGGCCAAATGTTTTTCTGTCGTGTTTGGATTTCCTGCAGCGCCATCTCAGGGATATGCGTCCTGGAGGGGATGTGAACCCTGCTGAGCTGGGATAGGGATGCTTCTCGAGGCTGATGTTGGGTAGGGTCCTGAGCAGGTCAGGTCCCATAGCTGTCCAGCTGAGGTGCCCAGAGACTAACAGAAGTGGGGAGGGTGCTAAGAGCTTGCTCCCACCCAGCCCATGTTTCTTTCTAAGTCTCCCCAGTCATCTGACCCAGCTCCACCCTCAGCACCAGCAGATCTTGAAGCAGCAGCAGCAGCAACAGGGTCGACCACAAAGGTAAAGCCTAGAGGAGGAGCAGGGTTGAGCAGCACCCCCTGCATGCTGGGTTTTCCCTTGCGGCAAGGCACCTCCCCCAAGGCCCCCCCTCCCCCCTCCCCCTGATATCCAGCTCCAGGCTCTCTACTCCTTGGGGAGTTCTGGGGGTGGGGGGGGGGGGGGAATGAGGGAGGAGGGGGTCTAAAGAGCCCTCCTGCTGGCTTGAAGTCCCCCAGCCAAGAAGTGGCCTCAGCAGCCAGACTCCTATGCTAACCTCATGACGCAGAAAGAGAAGGACTGGGTGGTAAAAGTGCAGATGGTTCAGCTGCAGAGTGAGAACCCCCGCCTTGATGACTATTACTACCAGGTGAGCCCCGGGGCCTCTGACCTTGGGGTCAAATGGCCTGACTCCATAGCCCTGAGAGCCTTCCTTCAGCTCACAGTCTCCATGTCCCTTCTCGTGGGAGAGACGACTGTGAAAGGATGGGGTTGTATTTCTATACTTGACACCCCAACTCCTTCCCTTTCTCCTAAACTTCAGCTGCAGGGGATTATTTGTGATTCCCTAAACACTGAGATTTTTGTCTCCATCCTTTGACAAGAATTTCTCCTACTCAGTCTGAAAATCAGGACATTCTCATCTTTTGTACACATTGATTTCTCTTAGAAATGACTTGTTATAAACATTGGTCTACTTGCGTTTTTTTCTTTTAAGATCTAAAACACAAGGAACTTTTATAGGTAATGGAATTCAATTTCTTGAACAAATGTGGCAGGTTTTTTGACTCTTTTCTGTCTTCTTCCTATCTGCCCTTTGTCCGTGAGTTCTGGGTTGTCTGGGCTTCCTTGTGGCTCAGACGGTAAAGAATCTGCCTGCAGTGCAGGACAGCCGGGTTCGATACCTGGGTTGGGAAGATCCTGTGGAGAAGTAAATGGCTACCCACTACAGTATTCTTGCCTGGAGAATTTCATGGACAGAGGAGCCTGGTGGGTTACAGTCCATGGGGTCACAAAAAGTCGGACATGACTGAGCAATTAACACTTTCACTTTCTGGATTGTCTAAGTTTTATTTCACTTTCTCTTCAACCTACCTGAGCCCGCTAGCAAGGTTCCCACCTTTATCTCCTTCCTATTGACATTAGATTCTTTCTTCCCACACTTCAAAACACCTCTGCCTTCTGCCAGGATCACTTGAATGTGATCATCTTACACTCTTGACTTTTAGACATTGCTTCTCAATGAAGGAGCTTTTTCAAACCGTTGTTTGACTCAGTCAGTGGCTTTATTTTAGTTCTGGATTTCACAGTCTTGAGATAGCAGAGTTGCTGTGCCAGTGCACACAAGAGCAGAGCTGGCCGAGAGGCCAGTTGGCAGCAGTGTCCTCTCTGTCCTTCAGTGGACAGAGGTGGTCTGTCACGCCAGCAGTGAACGCTGACTTGGGACAGAACAGGTAGGACCATCAAATTAAAATGGGGAGGGGGAGGGTGGGGTGACCGCGTAAAACTAAGAATAAGGAGTGAAGGAAGCCTGCAGACCCTGGGACCCATTTACTTCTGGGCTCTCTGCTTTGCTTCTCTGCATTTCCATCCTAGCTCTTCAAGTCCTTAGGATGGGGTGGGGGTGGGGGGGCAGGCAGATCAGGTGGCATGGGGCTTAGGGTGCTGAAGATGTTTTATAGTGGCTCTAGAAGGGCCTTGCATCCCAGGAGCATTTCTGGAATGAATACTGTAGACAAGGGTGTACTAAGAGGTTGACTGGAGAACCCTAACTCTTAAGTTCAGCCAACGAGTATATATTTGACTAATCTGTGACCTCTCAGGAATATTATCAGAAACTAGAGAAGAAGCAGGCAGATGAAGAGCTGCTTGGGCGAAGAAGCAGGTTTGAGTCTCTCAAGCTGGTCACACCTTTTATTCAGAAGGCGGAGGTTTATGAATCAGGTAGGACTGGGACTGACCTGCTGGGTTGGGGCGGACATCTGGCTGGACCCAGGTGGAAAGCAGAGGGGCACATGCCTGTCTGACTCCTTCCACACAGTGGTTCGAATCGAGGGTTCCCTGGGCCAGGTAGCTGTGTCGACGTGTTTTACCCCTCGCCGAGCTATTGATGCTGTGCCCCACGGAACTCAAGAGCAGGTAGGAGTTTATCTTCCTACAGCCTTTTTCTCTCCCTGTGTTTTGGAGAAAGGTCTGGAGCGCTGTCATGCTTGAGTTCAGATTGTGAGCTAAGAGAAAGAGGAGTGATCAGGCTTTGCAATTTAGTCTTTCCAGCTCACGTTCTGGCCTGCCTAGGCCTGGGCTGCTGCTGTTGGGGTTGTGGCTGACAGCCAGGGACTCTTTCTCTAGGAGACAGCAGCTGCAAGCAGTCAGAGGCTTTGGGTGCTGTACCGGATTGAGAAGGTGAGACCTCAGCCTTAGCAGTGAGTTCCTTGCCTCCCTTGAGAACAGGATATGCTCACATTGACCCCTTCTTCCTCTCTCCCCGCCCTCACGTTCCCAGATGTTCCTTCAGTTACTGGAGATCGAGGATGGCCAGCAGGATGGGCCTGCACAGCCCCATGACTCTGAGCAGCAGAGCAGCCGGGTTGAGAAGCTCTTCCAGGCCTTAAAGGCCCAGGGGCAGAATAATCTGGAGTGAGTGTGGGACGGTCACACCCCATCCCAGGAAGAGACAGTGGCTTAGCTTCGGCCCATCCCTTCTGGCAGCAACCCTCTGCTCTAGCTGAGCCCTGCGATGTTCACCTGTGTCCCTGCAGGGCGGCGGATGACGGCTTCCTGCAGGCGCTGTCCGTGGGGAAGGGGAAAGCCCTGGTGGCCCGGCTCCTCCCCTTCTTGCCCCGGGAACAAGCTGTCAGCTTGCTGCTGGCCATCACCCGCCACCTGCCCTTCCTGGTCAAGAGGGACGTGGCCGATCAGGTAGTGTGGCACAGAGTGGAGAGGATGGTTTTGTGGATGGGTTAGCAATGCTTATCCCTTCTCCTCCTTCCCTTCCCCTCCCCACCCTCAGAGAAGCCAGGGAAGGTTTTGGGTGGTGAGGGGGACTGACCCTGCCACCCTCAGGGGAGGGGGGCTATAGAAGACTGCCACAGGAACAGCTGATGATCTTTGATCTTCAGGCACAGTGAAGAAAGGAAAACCTGCGGGCATATGGTTACACAGGTGTGCGTGTGCTCTGGCAGTTAGAGAAGATGAGGACCCCCCTGATAAGTGCCAAGCTCCAGAGCTCCTTTGCTTAGGGAAGGCATGCAGGACAAGTGGGTGTTGAAGGGCCACTGTTAGGGATGAAGACACCTGAGTGGTGATAGACCTGGTAGGTCTGAGCTGACCAGAAGGGGCTAGAAGCAGGCTGGAAAGAAAGAGACTGGAGGTGAAGTTGTCAGGGAGTCAGAGAGGCCCTGACTGGTCTTCCTGCAGGCCCTGCAAATGTTATTTCAACCTCTGAGCAAATGTATCAGGCACTTGACCTTCCGTGAACTCCTCCAAGGACTTCAGGGACTCATGCGGCTACCACCTGGCTCCTCTGAGCGGCCAATCACTGTGGTGCTTCAGAATCAGGTAACACATGTGGAAGTCTTTGGTCTCTCCACAGGAGCCTCCAGGTGCTACCTGGAGTGGACCCAGGGTGGGGCTGCTTTTTTAACAAGCTCCAGATAATAATGGTGCCTCTGGATCAGAAGTAACCAAACATTTTTGATAGTGAATCCTTTTACTACAAAAAAAAAAATTCTGAACTACACCACCTGTGTGTTTATAAACCATATACATGGAACACTATACTTATATTAGGTGCATAATAAATACAAGGTGAGATCTATATGTGAAAGATCTCATATCTTCTAATATTCTAGTGGATTATCCTGTGAACCTCTTCTGAAGATCTTTGCCTCACGCAGTGCCTCTTAAAATGGGCTCCACATCCTACCCGCATCAGACTCCTGGGTCCATTCCCAACCTACAGTCTCTGACTCCTCAGGGTAGAGGCCACAAGTGTGCATTTCATCATCAGCTCCCCAGAGGAATCTTTTGGACAATTCAGAGCAGTGATTTCCTTGGAAAGAGCTCAGAGTTTCTTGGCCAGCCAGGGTAAAACTTGATGGATTTATGGGTGTTGGGCGCTGTCTGTACCTATGAACTTGCCCTTCTAGCTGGGAAACAACAGAGCCAGGGGAGCACGGGACGCCTATGGTAAACTCGTTTTGCCCTGGACATGCTGACACTTTATCACTTGCAGTTTGGCATATCTTTGCTCTATGCCCTGCTGAGTCATGGGGAGCAGCTGGTACCACTGAATTCTTCCGTCAAGGAGCCCAGCAGTGACCATTCAACTTGGTAAGATCATAAAAACCTTGTAAATACTATTTCAGTACCACTGGGATGTGTGCTAAGCTGCCTCAGGCGTGTCCAACTCTTTGTGACCCTATGGACTGTATCCTGCCAAACTCCTCTATCCATAAGATTCTCTAGGCAAGACTGCTGGAGTGGGTTGCCGTGCCCTCCTCCAGGGGATCTTCCCAACCCAGGGATCGAACCTGCATCTCCTGCACTGGCAGGCAGGTTCTTTATTGCTAGTGCCACCTGGGCACTAGAATCCCCCTGAGATGTGTAGGCTAAGCCAGATTAGCTGTTTCCTGAGTGGTTTAATCAAGCACCGGGGAGGAGATTGGACAGAGAAGAGGCGACTAACAGAGTTGGAGCTGTTTCGCCTTTTTTTCTGTAGTGCCTAGAGCGCTGCCCCATAGGAGGCAATGTAAGGTAGTCATTAATGAGACAGGCCTTGGAGTCTAACAGGCCCAGGTGTGGTGTCGCTTACCAGTAGCATAACGCTGGGGCATATGATTCCACTTTCTTTAGCCTGTTCCTCCACTATAAACTAGGGATGTAAGGATGATGGTACCAACCAGTTAGAGATCTGAAGATTAAGCAAGATGGAAGATGTATAAAGCATTAAGCATTGCCTGGCACATACCAAACAGGCAAATGTTCTATCTTAGCTGCTGTAGGTGCAGAGGGTGGTAGTGGTGGTAGGAGATAACAAGAAACCTGGGGCCTTAGTCTATTTCCCGCATAAACACTATGACGCCCATGTGTTTCTTCTCTGCCCTCCAGGACAGACGTGGTGGTCCTCACTGCCTGGGAGATCGCTCAGATGCCCACAGCCTCTCTGGCAGAGCCCCTGGCCTTCCCCGGCAACCTTCTCCCCCTGTTCTGTCACCACGTGGACAAGCGACTGGTGCAGAAGCTGGAGGCTAGGATGGAGTGTGTGGCCATGGACATACACTCATAGCCCGGACTAGGTTCTGTCACTTCTCTACCATGTTTAAACCAAGAGTATGGAGGATAACTTGCTTTTCGAAGTGTTTCTAGACATGGGTACTTACTGAGTAACCAATCTGCTCCAAGTTAGGGTTGTATGACCTGTTTCTTCAGCCAAACTTTTCCATTTTTTTCCCTAGGAACTTTGATTATTTATCACACTAAGATATTTGAGAGTAAGAATTAGTTTGAGAAGATGAACTGTTCATTCAAAAACTATTTGAGGGACAACTCAAATGTAAAGAAGATGTAAGTGCACAAAGAACATGTAGGTCATCTTTCCTCAGAACTTTGCACCTGCTGGACAGAGATACTAATCACATGGCACAGTAAAGGGAAGTTATTTGGAGTCGATCCCTCTTTTTGTAGCTTTGTTTCGATCTACTGATCAGCTTGCTCCAGAATGCCTATATATAGGGCAAGTTTAGTGATCAGACACTAGCTGCGTATAGGTTTTGCCTACAGGGATCCAGAGAGTCTGAAGACAGTGTACGCCTTGATATATCGGCAAACCTTGCCCAAAACCTTTTCTCATGCCTCAAAAAACTGAACTATGTGCCTAAAAAGGCAGAGCAAAATGAGGTATAATTAAAAAGATAACAGAATTAAGTGCTGCAGCTTGTTTGTAAATGAAGAGGTATAATCAAAGTCACTTTCTTTTGTGTGAAGCTTCACAAGTGTCCTTAATGTAAGGGACAAGTCCTTGTTGTGTTGAACAATAGACTGACTTTGAAAACTGTTCTGGTCTTGCCATTTTTTATAAGTAGCTCTAGCTGAGCTAAGAGGGTTGGATATAAATATCTCCCTTGAGATATGAGATGTTTGGTTTACTTTGACAAACAGGGTCATTCATTCATCAACAAATACTAGAGCCCCCCTTTTTTTTTAACCAGGTACCATTTTAGGTGGTTGAGAAACAGTGATGACCAAAGAAAAGCCCTTGCTCTTCTGAAGCTTACATTCTGGTTGGACAGGGACTGACAGAAGATACCAAGTAGTAATAAATACTATGGAGGAAACACAACTGGAGGATGAGTGACTGGAGTGAAATGGAAGGCCTGTCAATTAGAGGTTATTAAAGTTAGACTGGAATCAAAGACGAGTTTTCCATGCAGAGGTACTAGTGAGCACAAAGCCCCTAAAGTGAGAATGAACTTGGTGTGTTTGAAGAAAAGAAAAAAGGAAAATGTGGCTGAAGTATACAGATAAGGGATGGGGGTGATGGGCTCTGAGAGCAGTAAGCAAGGTACACATCTGTAACCTTTTTTAAAAATTCTGGATTTTCCACTGTGCTAGGAAGTCAGAATTTTGAACAGGGAAGTGACTTTGATTTTGTCACTTTTGTTTTGAGACAATCATTGTTGACTGCTAATTGCTAGGGGAACAGGGAAAGCAGAGGGAAAAAATGTTCAAAAGTTTTGTGTTTTTTTTCCCCCTCGAAGTTGGAGCAAGAATTGAAGAGCTGTGGGGACAGAAAGAGAAGAGGTTTGAAAGAGGTTTTGGAAATAAGAGTTGACAGACATTGCTGATGGGCTGGATAAGGGTGGTGGTGAAGAATCCAGGATGCCTCTCTGGCAGAGTGAATGGTGGGTGCCCTAGACTAATGTGGGTAAAACAGAAAAATGCATTTGGGGAGTAATCATCAATATTTTAGACATTTGAGTCCTGTTAGAAATCCAAGTAGATATATCGAGTAGGTAAAGAGCAGTCTGGAGATGAAGGAAAAGGTCAGGGATAAAGACACCAAAGTGGTAGCTATCATCACACAGAGGTATTACAAGTGAGGAGAGAGGGAATGATGATACAGGAAGAAAAGCCAACCTAGGGGACTGAGGAGGCGTTATCTGTGGGAAAGGACAGGGGGAAAACTGGGGAGTGGCCAAAGCTGGGGGGGAAACTATTTCAAGGGGCGGGGAGTGTGGAATGAAGAAAGAAAAGCAATGGTTGGTTTTGGCATTTCTGTTCTTGACCTTAAGGGACAGATGAGCTGGAGATGGTGACCTGGATAGAAAGGTTGAGGGAAGGAGAGAGGGGCTGACTACAGAAAGAGGCAATTTGGAATCTTCTGAAAGGGAAGCAGAGAAATTTTGACAGTAGGTAGTACTCAGTGTAGGTTTAAAGACTATTTTAAAAGTGATATATATATATATGTGTGTATATATATATATGATCATGAAAGCACATATATATTATCATGAAAGCACTCCCATAAAGGCATGCGGGAAGGGTAGGCACGGTGGAGAGGAAAACTTCACAAATTCCTACAAGAGGAGGAGGGTGGGAAACTAAGCAGGAACAAGAGCTGCCCTCTGAGAGCTGTGGGCCCATGGGCTGTGGAAGAGAAGGTGCTAAGAAAGGCACTGCTACCCTTAAGGAGACTTTCCCAAAGTGCCCACTACCCACCGCTTCTTGCCCCCGCTGCTGTGAGCATGGGTCATATAGTTCTTAAAGGAAAGAGAAGTAGGAAACAGGAACTCTACCATTTCCACCCTTTCCCCAGCCTGTTATTAATATAATGGTATTATTTGACATCGGCATCAAGTCAGCTCTACCATGATGAATTGGTCTAGTCCCAAGGACACTGCACCACCCAGGGTCTGTAAGCAGAAACAGCAGCCCAATAAGCAGTGGAGAAGGGAATGGCAAACCACTTCAGTATTCCTGATTTGAGAACCCCATGAACAGTAATGAAAAGGCAAAAAGATAGGACACTTAAAGATGAACTCCCCAGGTAGGTAGGTGCCCAATATGCTACTGGAGATCAGTGGGGAAATAACTCCAGAAAGAAAGAAGAGACGGAGCCAAAGCAAAAACAACACCCATTGTGGATGTGACTGGTGATGGAAGTAAAGTCCGAAGCTGTAAAGAGCAATATTGCATAGGAACCTGGAATGTTAGGTCCATGAATCAAGGCAAATTGGAAGTGGTCAAACAGGAGAGGGCAAGAGTGAACATCGACATTTTAGGAACCAGTGAACTAAAATGGACTGGAATGGTTGGATCTAAATCAGATGACCATTATATCTACTACTGGAGGCAAGAATCCCTTAGAAATGGAGTAGCTATCATAGTCAACAAAAGAGTCCAAAATGCAGTATTTGGATGTGATCTCAAAAATTACAGAATGTTTGTTTCAGAGGCAAACCATTCACTATCACAGTAATCCAAGTCTATGCCCCGACCAGTAATGCTGAAGAAGCTGAAGTTGAATGTTTCTATGAAGACCTACAAGACCTTCTAGAACTAACACCCCAAAAAGACGTCCTTTTCATTATAGGGGGCTGGAATGCAAAAGTAGGAAGTCAAGAAATACCTGGAGTAACAGGCAAATTTGGCCTTGGAGTATAGAATGAAGGAGGGCAAAGGCTAACAGAGTGTTGCCAAGAGAATGCACTGGACATAGCAAACACCCTCTTCCAACAACACAAGAGAAGACTCTACACATGGACATCACCAGATGGTCAAAACCAAAATCAGATTGATTATATTCTTTGCAGCTAAAGATGGAGAGGTTCTATTCAGTCAGCAAAAATAAGACTGGGAGCTGGCTGTGGCACAGACTATGAATATGAACTCCTTATTGCCAAATTCAGACTTAAATTGAAGAAAATAGGGAAAACCACTAGACCATTCAGGTATGACCTAAATCAAATCCCTTATGATTATACAGTGGAAGTGACAAACAGATTCAAGGGATTAGATCTGGTAGAGTGCTTGATGAACTATGGTGGGAGGTTTGTGACATTGTACAGGAGGCAGTGACCAAGACCATCCGCAAAGAAAAGAAATGCAAAAAGGCAAAATGGTTGTCTGAGGAGGCCTTACAAATAGCTGTGAATAGAAGAGAAGTGAAAAGCAAAGGAGAAAAGGAAAGATATACACATTTGAATGCAGAGTTCCAAAGAAGAGCAAGGAGAGATAAGAGAGCCTTCCTCAGAAAGCAACGCAAAGAAAAAGAGGGAAAACAATAAAATGGGGAAAGTCTAGAGATCTCTTCAAGAAAGTCAGAAATACCAAGGGAATATTTCATGCAAGGATGGGTACAATAAAGGACAGAAATGGCATGCACCTAACAGAAGCAGAAGATATTAAGAAGAGGTGACAAGAATACACCGAAGAACTATACAAAAAAAGATCTTCACGACCCAGATAATCACAATGGTGTGATCACCAACCTAAAGCCAGACATCCTGGAATTCGAAAGCAAGTGAGCCTTAGGAAGCATCATTATAAACAAAGCTAGTAGAGGTGATGGAATTCCAGTTGAGCTATTTCAAATCCTAAAAGATGATGCTGTGAAAGCGCTGCAATCAATATGCCAGCAAATTTGGAAAACTCAGCAGTGGCCACAGGACTGGAAAAGGTCGGTTTTCATTCCAATCCCCAAAAAAAGCAATGCCAAAGAATGCTCAAGCTACCACACAATTGTACTCATTTCACATGCTAGTAAAGTAATACTCAACATTCTCCAAACCAGGCTTCAGCAATACATGACCCGTGAACTTCCAGATGTTCAAGCTGGTTTTAGAACAGGCAGAGGAACCAGAGATCAAATTGCCAACATCTGTTGAATCATAGAAAAATCAAGAAGAGTTCCAGGAAAACATCTGCTTTATTGATTACACCAAAGCCTTTGACTGTGCGGATCATAACGAGCTGTGGAAAATTCTGAAAGAGATGGGAATACCAGACCACCTGACCTGCCTCTTGAGAAACCTGTATGCAGGTCAGGAAGCAACAGTTAGAACTCGACATGGGAACAACAGAGTGGTTCCAAATAGGAAAAGGAGTATCTCAAGGCTGTATATTGTCACCCTGCTTATTTAACTTATATGCTTATTTAAACTTATTTAATTTATATTTAACTTATATGCACCATGAGAAAAGCTGGGCTGGATGAAGCACAAGCTGGAATCAAGATTGCTGGGACAAATCTCAATAACCTCAGATATGCAGATGACACCACCTTTA